AGCCGGACACGGGAGGACAGTGGAGAAGTGAGACAGGACAGGACCCCCAGAGGGGTCAGCAAGGGAGACCGCAACCGGCCGGCCGAGCGGCGTAAGGGTAGTGCGGTCTCGAAAGAAGGAGCGAGAAGCTCCGGAGTCAAGTGTGAAAGTGAGGGAGGACGAGGACGACGCAGTACCTGAGAGCGCAGTCTCACCAGTACTTGAGAGCACAGACGCACTGGCACCTAGAGCAGCAGCCTCACAAGCACCTAGCGCAGCAGTACCAATGCCCGGGTCGGGCCGGAAACAACGGTAACCCTCATTCTCCTCACTATAATCCACAACATACATAGCAGCAAGGATAGCATCAAAATCAAGATCAAAGATCGCTACACCAGCCCTGAGAAGCTCATCCCAGCGAGGGATCTCACTAGCCCAAAAGAACTGCTGACGCCAAGCGTCCGTCGGGCACCCCCACACTGCTCACCCGCGCGGTCGCCGGAACGAAGAACGTAGGTGCAGGGACCAGTACCCCCACCCCTCTGACGCCCAACCTACCACTCACGAAGCTGCTGAGGTGGGGGGATGTCCCGCGAGCGCTGCTGCTGCTGCCGATGCGAGCGCTGGCCACCACCACCGCCGCTACGCTGCTGGGTACCACCTCGACCAGCTCCACCTCCTCCACCACCACCGCCTCCTCCGCTGCCGCCTCCACCGCCTCCACCTCCGCCGCCTCCACCACCGCCGCTGCCTCCACCACCACCGCTGGCACCACCACCACCGTCTCCGCCACTGCTGCCACCACCACCACCACCTCCACCACTAGTCCCGCCGCCACCCCCACTCCCTCCGCCGCCACCGCCGCCACCGCCACCGCCCCCTCCAGCTCCACCCGCGCCCTTGCCCCCCTTGCCCTTGCTGGAGCGACGTCTCCCACTAAGGGCAAACGCCGCGCCGACCGACTCAAGACCAAGCAGGTCGGCAGCAGCAGCAGAGGCAACAGAGGGCAGCAAGGGGGAAGGAGAGCACCCCTCAAAGATGGGGGTGCGAGGGTCACCACGAGAAGCACCTACAGCGACTATGCTCTTCTCCGCTGCGAGGAGGGCCTTCTCGAGGACGTCGACGGTGAGGGTGGTGGGACAGACTGCGAGAAAGTGGTCCCTGACGACGCGAAGGGAGTCAGGGAGGCGCGCGACTACGTAGTAGAGAGCGATGTACATGGGGGGGGGGTTCTTAGCGCAGAACTCAGCAGGAAGGGCGGCGCGGTAGCGAGTGTCACTAGTGCGGAGGTGCGTAATGAGGTCAGCGACAGTGGGAAAGGCAGAGAGGTCAGGAAAGAGGTAGGGAAGCATGAGACGGCTCAGTGCAGCAGTGGCAGGGGAGGAGTAGCGCGCAACTACAGCGTCGTACAAGGTCTGAGCACTCTTGTACTGACTAAAGTGCGCACGCTCAGAGGTAGGGAGGTGGCGACGCACAGCAAGACGTGCAGCAGCATCGCGGGTGGCCCACTTAGAGCGGACAGCGGGATCAGCATCAGCAGCAGGAGCAGGAGAGGCGCCAGAGGTGAGGTCAAAGAGAGAAAGGTCGTCAGCCCTGTCGCACTGTAAGAACAGCTGCAGGTCGTCTAACCAGACCTCAAAATCAATGGCGCGACCCTCAGCGTCAAAAGCTAGGACACTAGGGGTAGCCATGGCGACGACAGCGACGCAGTGCAAGCAGTAGGGAAAGAGCTCGCAGTGTCAGTGGGACTGTGCTCACCAGGCAGGGCAGGTCGTGCAGCTATGCAGAAAGGCGGCTCAGCGACCGGGCGGCTCGGGTGCACAGCGGCTCGGCTCCCGGGCGGCTCGGCGGCTGGGCGGCTCGGGTGCAGGGCGGCTCGGCTCCCGGGCGGCTCGGCGGCTGGGCGGCTCGGGTGCAGGGCGGCTCGGCTCCCGGGCGGCTCGGCGGCAGGGCGGCTCGGGTCCCGGGCGGCTCGGCGTTGGGCGGCTCGGCTCCCAGGCGGTTCGGCTGCTGGGGCGGCTCGGCCGGGAGATACAGGGGCGGGACCGTCAGGTGCAGCGGCGGGTCGACCGGTGCAGTGGCGGGCCGGCAGGTGCAGCGGCGGGCCGGCAGGTGCAGCGGCGGGCCGGCAGGTGCAGCGGCGGGCCGGCAGGTGCAGGCGGCGGGCCGTAGGGTGCAGCGGCAGGCCGTAGGGTGCAGCGGCGAGCCGGCAGGTGCAGCGGCGGGGCCGTCAGGTGAAGCGGCGGGCCGCTGGGTGCAGCGGCGGGCCGGCAGGAGCAGCGGCGGGCCGGCAGGAACAGCGGCGGGGCCGTCAGGTGAGGCGGCGGGCCGGCAGGAGCAGCGGCGGGCCGTAGGGTGCAGCGGCGGGGCCGTCAGAGGCGGCGGGCCGCTGGGTGCAGCGGCGGGCCGGCAGGTGCAGCGGCGGGCCGGCAGGAGCAGCGGCGGGCCGGCAGGAGCAGCGGCGGGGCCGTCGAGTGCAGCGGCAGGGCCGTCAGAGGCGGCGGCGGGGCCGCGGCAGTAGAGGCGGGGCCGCGTCAGGGGAGGCAGCGGGGCCGCGTCAGGGGAGGCGGCAGGGCCGCGTCAGGGGAGGCGGCGGGGCCGCGTCAGGGGAGGCGGCGGGGCCGCGTCAAGCAGGCGGCGGGGCCGCGATCAGGAGAGGTGGCGGGGCCGCGTCTGAGGGACAGCGGGGCCGCGAGGGAAAAGGCGACCCGAGGGGTCGCTAAAAAAAAGGACGCGCCTCGGGGCGCGCTTCGGTGGGCCCTAAAAAAACGGTCCTAAGGCAGGACCCGCTCTATACCATGTGAAGCAAGGAAAACAGGAATGAAATGACTAAGTCAGAGTTGGGTACAAATACAACCCTAGAAAGCTGTACCCCATATGTGCTACCCCACTATAGCCTACAAACATGCATCAGTTATAATAATCCGACAGCTAGGCCCATGTTGTTGCTATTTCGCGAACGCTAGGCCCTTGTTCTTGATTTTTTGCACTCGCTAGGCCCTTGTTTTTGCACTTTTGCACACGCTAGGCCCTTGTTCTTGCAATTTTGTACACGCTAGGCCCTTGTTCTTTTTATTTTGCACACGCTAGGCCCTTGTTCTTTTTATTTTGCACCCGCTAGGCCCTTGTTCTTGCTATTTTGAACATGCTATGCCCTTGTTCTTTTTATTTTGTACACGCTAGGCCCTTGTTCTTGCTATTTCGCGAACGCTAGGCCCTTGTTCTTGATTTTTTGCACGCGCTAGGCCCTTGCTCTTGCTTTTTTGCACACGCTAGGCCCTTGTTCTTGCTATTTTCCACTCGCTAGGCCCTTGTTCTTGCAATTTTGCACACGTTAGGCCCTTGTTCTTGCAATTTTGCACACGCTAGGCCCTTGTTCTTTTTATTTTGCACACGCTAGGCCCTTGTTCTTTTTATTTTGCACACGCTAGGCATTTGTTCTTGCTATTTTGCACACACTAGGCCCTTGATCTTGCTATTTCACGAATGCTAGGCCCTTGTTCTTGATTTTTTGCACACGCTAGGCCCTTGTTCTTGCTATTTTGCACTCGCTAGGCCCTTGTTGTTGCAATTTTGAACACCCTAGGCCCTTGTTCTTTTTATTTTGCACACGCTAGGCCCTTGTTCTTTTTATTTTGCACACGCTAGGCCCTTGTTCTTTTTACTTTGCACAAGCTAGGCCCTTATTCTTGCAATCTTGCACACGCTATGCCCTTGTTCTTTTTATTTTGCACACGCTAGGCCCTTGTTCTTGCAATTTTGCACATGCTAGACCCTTGTTCTTTTTATTTTGCACACACTAGGCCCTTGTTCTTTTTATTTTGCACACGCTAGGCCCTTGTTCTTGCTATTTTGCACACGCCATGCCCTTGTTCTTTATATTTTGCACACGCTAGGCCCTTGTTCTTGCTATTTCACGAACCCTATGCCCTTGTTCTTGATTTTTTGCAGACGCTAGGCCCTTGCTCTAGCTATTTTGCACTCGCTAGGCCCTTGTTCTTGCAATTTTGCACACGCTAGGCCCTTGTTCTTGCAATTTTGCACACGCTAGGCCCTTGTTCTTTTTATTTTGCACACGCTAGGCCCTTGTTCTTGCAATTTTGCACACGCTAGGCCCTTGTTCTTTTTATTTTGCACACGCTATGCCCGTGTTATTTTTATTTTGCACACGCTATGCCCTTGTTCTTGCAATTTTGCACATGCTAGACCCTTGTTCTTCTTATTTTGCACACGCTACGCCCTTGTTCTTGCTATTTCGCGAACACAAGGCCCTTGTTCTTGATTTTTTGCATACGCAAGGCCCTTGGTCTTGCTATTTTGCACTCGCTAGGCCCTTGTTCTTGCAATTTTGCACACGCTAGGCCCTTGTTCTTGCAATTTTGCACACGCTAGGCCCTTGTTCTTTTTATTTTGCACACGCTAGGCCCTTGTTCTTGTATTTTGCACATTCTAGGCCCTTGTTCTTGCTATTTTGCACACGCTATGCCCTTGTTCTTTTTATTTTGCACACGCTAGGCCCTTGTTCTTGCAATTTTGCACACGCTAGGCCCTTGTTCTTTTTATTTTGCACACGCTATGCCCGTGTTATTTTTATTTTGCACACGCTATGCCCTTGTTCTTGCAATTTTGCACATGCTAGACCCTTGTTCTTTTTATTTTGCACACGCTACGCCCTTGTTCTTGCTATTTCGCGAACACAAGGCCCTTGTTCTTGATTTTTTGCATACGCAAGGCCCTTGGTCTTGCTATTTTGCACTCGCTAGGCCCTTGTTCTTGCAATTTTGCACACGCTAGGCCCTTGTTCTTTTTATTTTGCACACGCTATGCTCGTGTTATTTATATTTTGCACACGCTATGCCCTTGTTCTTGCAATTTTGCACATGCTAGACCCTTGTTCTTTTTATTTTGCACACGCTAGGCCCTTGTTCTCGCTATTTTGCGAACACAAGGCCCTTGTTCTTGATTTTTTGCATACGCTAGGAACTTGGTCTTGCTATTTTGCACTCGCTAGGCCCTTGTTCTTGCAATTTTGCACACGCTAGGCCCTTGTTCTTTTTATTTTGCACACGCTAGGCCCTTATTCTTGTATTTTGCACATGCTAGGCCCTTGTTCTTGCTATTTTGCACACGCTATGCCCTTGTTCTTTTTATTTTGCACACTCTAGGCCCTTGTTCTTGCAATTTTGCACATGCTAGACCCTTGTTCCTTTTATTTTGCACATGTTAGGCCCTTGTTCTTGCTATTTCGCGAACTCTAGGCCCTTGTTCTTGAGTTTTTGCACACGCTAGGCCCTTGCTCTTGCTATTTTGCACTCGCTAGGCCCTTGTTCTTGCAATTGTGCACACGCTAGGCCCTTGTTCTTGCAATTTTGCACACGCTAGGCCCTTGTTCTTGCTATTTTGCACACGCTAGGCCCTTGTTCTTTTTATTTTGCACACGCTAGGCCCTTGTTCTTGCTATTTTGCACACGCTATGCCCTTGTTCTTTTTATTTTGCACACGCTAGGCCCTTGTTCTTGCTATTTCACGAACCCTATGCCCTTGTTCTTGATTTTTTGCAGACGCTAGGCCCTTGCTCTAGCTATTTTGCACTCGCTAGGCCCTTGTTCTTGCAATTTTGCACACGCTAGGCCCTTGTTCTTGCAATTTTGCACACGCTAGGCCCTTGTTCTTTTTATTTTGCACACGCTAGGCCCTTGTTCTTGCAATTTTGCACACGCTAGGCCCTTGTTCTTGCTATTTTGCACACGCTATGCCCGTGTTATTTTTATTTTGCACACGCTATGCCCTTGTTCTTGCAATTTTGCACATGCTAGACCCTTGTTCTTTTTATTTTGCACACGCTACGCCCTTGTTCTTGCTATTTCACGAACACAAGGCCCTTGTTCTTGATTTTTTGCATACGCAAAGCCCTTGGTCTTGCTATTTTGCACTCGCTAGGCCCTTGTTCTTGCAATTTTGCATACGCTAGGCCCTTGTTCTTGCAATTTTGCACACGCTAGGCCCTTGTTCTTTTTATTTTGCACACGCTAGGCCCTTGTTCTTGTATTTTGCACATGCTAGGCCCTTGTTCTTGCTATTTTGCACACGCTATGCCCTTGTTCTTTTTATTTTGCACACGCTAGGCCCTTGTTCTTGCAATTTTGCACACGCTAGGCCCTTGTTCTTTTTATTTTGCACACGCTATGCCCGTGTTATTTTTATTTTGCACACGCTATGCCCTTGTTCTTGCAATTTTGCACATGCTAGACCCTTGTTCTTTTTATTTTGCACACGCTACGCCCTTGTTCTTGCTATTTCGCGAACACAAGGCCCTTGTTCTTGATTTTTTGCATACGCAAGGCCCTTGGTCTTGCTATTTTGCACTCGCTAGGCCCTTGTTCTTGCAATTTTGCACACGCTAGGCCCTTGTTCTTTTTATTTTGCACACGCTATGCTCGTGTTATTTATATTTTGCACACGCTATGCCCTTGTTCTTGCAATTTTGCACATGCTAGACCCTTATTCTTTTTATTTTGCACACGCTAGGCCCTTGTTCTCGCTATTTTGCGAACACAAGGCCCTTGTTCTTGATTTTTTGCATACGCTAGGAACTTGGTCTTGCTATTTTGCACTCGCTAGGCCCTTGTTCTTGCAATTTTGCACACGCTAGGCCCTTGTTCTTTTTATTTTGCACACGCTAGGCCCTTATTCTTGTATTTTGCACATGCTAGGCCCTTGTTCTTGCTATTTTGCACACGCTATGCCCTTGTTCTTTTTATTTTGCACACTCTAGGCCCTTGTTCTTGCAATTTTGCACATGCTAGACCCTTGTTCCTTTTATTTTGCACATGTTAGGCCCTTGTTCTTGCTATTTCGCGAACTCTAGGCCCTTGTTCTTGAGTTTTTGCACACGCTAGGCCCTTGCTCTTGCTATTTTGCACTCGCTAGGCCCTTGTTCTTGCAATTGTGCACACGCTAGGCCCTTGTTCTTGCAATTTTGCACACGCTAGGCCCTTGTTCTTGCTATTTTGCACACGCTAGGCCCTTGTTCTTTTTATTTTGCACACGCTAGGCCCTTGTTCTTGCTATTTTGCACACGCTATGCCCTTGTTCTTTTTATTTTGCACACGCTAGGCCCTTGTTCTTGCTATTTCACGAACCCTATGCCCTTGTTCTTGATTTTTTGCAGACGCTAGGCCCTTGCTCTAGCTATTTTGCACTCGCTAGGCCCTTGTTCTTGCAATTTTGCACACGCTAGGCCCTTGTTCTTGCAATTTTGCACACGCTAGGCCCTTGTTCTTTTTATTTTGCACACGCTAGGCCCTTGTTCTTGCAATTTTGCACACGCTAGGCCCTTGTTCTTGCTATTTTGCACACGCTATGCCCGTGTTATTTTTATTTTGCACACGCTATGCCCTTGTTCTTGCAATTTTGCACATGCTAGACCCTTGTTCTTTTTATTTTGCACACGCTACGCCCTTGTTCTTGCTATTTCACGAACACAAGGCCCTTGTTCTTGATTTTTTGCATACGCAAAGC